GGCGCTTGTGTGGCATTACTGTTACTTGCCACTTGTCAGCCCAAAGCTAGGTATTGTTGAGGTATTGCTGCATTTGGACATTTGTCGGCTACTATATCTGAGGAGTTGTGAGTGATGCTGAACATTGTGCAATCGTGAGTGAAAATTTCCCAATTCTGACCTTATTTTGGAGGAAAGGTCATGGATGAAGAAGCTGAAAATGGTTGGGTCGAAAACACTACTCAGAGGAACTCCTGCAGAGATGCCTTGGAGGTAGCATGATTGACTTTCAACAACCATAAACACCTTCTTTTATGCTGAGTACAACTCCAACCAGTGAATAGCTTTCCCCCTGTTACCCCTTGACTCCAGTTTTGCCAAAGCTCCTTAAATCACACTTGGTCAATTGCAACCTTGATTTCAAGGGCAGTCACTCTCACCTCACTTCTGGAATTCAGCTCCTTTGTCTATGTTTGAACCAAGGCTCCAGTGCGGTTGTTTGAGAGATAACTGTTCACCCAGGACACTCACCAATTCTTCTTTGAATATTGCTAGTGGTCCTTTTATGTCTACTTTAGGTTGCCTTGATTTAAAGCTTCTATGAAAGGATGCTACCTCCAATAGATTAGCATTCTCTGGTGATTCCTGAATTTCTTTCTCTCAGGTTGAAACCTTCTAATTCAGGGCCAGAGTGGGGTTGACTCTGAGTAGGATCTCTTGCATTGGGCTCATTTCCCTGTGGTCACATCAGTGGAATTTATGCTTGTGTCAATGTACTGTAAATATACGCTGCATGAATTTTGTGAAAATAAACAAGTATCAGTGACACTTTACATTTCAGGCAACAAATATTCTCAGGGAAGGTGTGGCACATGTAAAACACAAAGTAATCTCGCTCTGGAATACCATCAAACATTCTCAAGACAAATACAATATGTTAGGTACAGAGAAATGCTTCCTCTACACTGTCCCATCAAACATTCTGATATAGACTAGGTTAAATGCAGAGTAAGACTCTCTCTACTCTGTCCAACTGCATACTTTCAGGGAAAATACAGAGGAAAACCCTTGAATAGTACCCCATCAAGAACATTCCAGGGGCAGTGCACAAGCTAGATACAGAATAACACCCCTACATTTCCCTATCAGTGTACATCTGCTCCAACAATGGAACAGCAGTGTTCCGTTTTCCTTTCCCTAACCAGGGCCCATCTGACTGAGAATAACAGTTCAATACCAATTACTGCCTTTGTGCATGAGTCATTTGTGCCATGCAAAAGTCATAGGCTAGTGATACTGTAGCAATATTTGTTTGCCAAATTCTTTCTGTGAAAACTGTGACTGACCACCCCCCCAAAACGCACCCATTTACCCTCCTCACCCCTGTAATAGGGCTAAATAAGATCTGTGACTGTGTTTTAATGCAGAAAATGGACAGAAATGTGCTGTATAAATGCTGTATTACTGGCAGAAATCTTGGAATTCTATAAAATATAAATGGAATCTGACCAGAAATGATACATTTATTTTAAACAGTATAAAAATAAAGCTGGTTCCAACATATCCTCTCAGCAGTTCAAGTCTCAAGAATTACCCTGATATTAAGCCAATGATAATATATCAAGTACTTGTAGGGACAGGTCTGCAGGCTGCAGTAACATTCATTTCATAAAATATCTTGATACTAAATATGGGAACAAACCGTTTCCCTCACACTTCTATAAGCATTCCTGTTCCAGGCTGTTCCTCGAAAGAACAGTGGAATTCAATGAGATGGGAAAAGAAGTTCTTTGGGTGTAAGGTCAGAATGATATTTCACTGCATTTCTGTAATTTATTTTACTTCTGTCCTGCTTCTGATGAAACTCTAGTGCCTAATCCCATGTGTCACAGGCTGCAATTAAAAAAAAAACGAATGTTATTAAATCTGGTTCTATTTCACATTCGTGGCCCTCAGCTGACAGCTGCACTCTGTACTTGCATGCTCTCTCCTCACACTCTGCTCGATGTAGGCTTGCCCAGACACAATGAAGCAGGTCATTAAGTTATTCTGCCCAGGAGACAGAATGAAAGAGAGAGGGGTCATTTGCAGACCAGCTGCACTACACGCTTTGCCATCCTTGGCGGGCACTACCAGCAGGGCCAAGAGAGATGGGGGAGGGGACTTTTGGCATGGCGAATCCAGAATAAGGTGAGGTACTCAAGTTTGTGCAGACACTAGAGTGTGTTTCAAGGTTTAGGGGCATCCCAGCCCTTTGATTTTTTACAGACACCTAGTTGTTGAGGCGTCAATGTCAATGTGATCCGATTAGTCACCTGTTTTATGAACTGATGGTAACACTCATTGAAACAGCCTGATTTCAAACTTCTTCATTGTAGTGGGAAAGCAAACAGAAAATACATAGCTGGCACCTGAATGAGGAAATTGCTTAACTCTGTAAGTGCAGATCTGGGTGGGATGCTCCTCGGAGGGTCAGTACGGACCTGTTGGGCCGAAGGGCCTGTTTCCACACTGCAGGGATACCATGATTCTATGATTCTATCTGTTCAAGCTGCCTCTCAGTGAAAGTAGTTAGCCAACTTGAAATCAATAAGTTGAACATTTCACAGAATCTTACAGTACAGGCGGAGGCCATTCCTCTCTCCACGAGTGCTGCTTGAAACAGCTGTGCAATTAGTTCCAAACTGCTCTTTCCCCACAACCCTGCATCATCTTTACTTTCCATGAAGTTTCTGTAAGTTTCTATTGAGTCTGCTTCAACCTCCAGAGAATCTGTTATCTCCCTCTTGTTCTTCTAGCTGCACTGCCCTGAAATGGCAGGTCACTTCTACTCTCTGGGATCAACTGCTGATCATTGCATTTGTCAGCCTTGCTCAAGTGCTGTACCAATGAAACTGTACCCTGTACATTGTGTTTGACACGTTGAGTGATTGGCACAAGAACAAGTGTGAGGAAACATGTTTGAAAATATAAATCTCCTTATTCACAAAGTACAATAGGAAAGGAGTGTATTTACATAGGTCCCTGCAGAACTTCAAGATGTGACAAAATGTTTTACAGTCAATAAAAAATGGTTGTGAAGTGTGGCCACATTTGTAAAGACGGAAACACAGCAGCCAATTTGCATGCAGCAAGCTTCCAGAAACAACAATGTGATAGTGACCAGATCATCTGTTTTTAGTAATGCCAGTTGATAGAGAAATATTGACAGGACACTGAGGAAAATACTTCTGTTCTTCTTTGAATAGTGATGTGGCGTATCCTTGCACAGTTTTTGCCATGCCTTGCTTGTGAAAGTAATGTGTGTCAGATGCAATGTACTTTGCATTGAAAGCTTAACCATGGAAGACAAACCGTTAATAGCAAACTTGCATGGATTCATGCAGCTTGGCCCTTTTAGAATATTTATGACCATCTGCTATGAAATCTTAATATCAATAATCAGCAAATACACAGCAGAGATAGGGCAGATTCTACCCCTTGCAAAGACAAAAAGGATGTCACCCAGGGTAGGGATACACCAGTGGTGACTACTAACCCCATACTCACCCTTGTCAATCAAACTTCAATGATAAGCATTTGGTAGGAATGATGTAGTTTAAAAAAGGTCAATTAAGCAGCAGACTGTCATCCCTTATTCTCACCTTTGTTAACAGCAGTGTGCTAAACATCCAAATGCATTAGTGAAACAGTTGATTATTCATTTACTAAGCCTATATTTAAGTGGCAACTACCTGTGCAGTCCATGTGATCTACCCTAATTTGTCATTACCCCCATGGTCACTGACCTACCTATATTGGCTCCTGATCCAGCACCACCATAAACTAAAATCCAGTCCTTGTTTTCAGCTAGCTCCATCACCTCATGCCTTCCCTATCTCTGTAACCATGTCCAGCCTTACAACCTTCCAAGATGTCTGTGTTTTCCCAATTCTGGACTCTTGCATCTTCTAGATTTTAATCTCTTCACCATGGTGGCCATACCTTCAGCTGCCATAGCTCTGGAATTCCTTAATTTTTTATAGAATCGCTACAGTGTGGAAACAGGCCCTTCAGCCCAACAAGTCCACACCGACCCTCACAGCATCCCACCCAGACCCATCCCCCTACAACTCATCTAATCTATACATCCCTCAACACAATGGGCAATTTTTCATGGCTGATCCATCTAGCCTGCACATTGTTGGACTGTGGGAGGAAACCGGAGCACCTGGAGGAAATCCACACAGACACGGGGAGAATGTGCAAACTCCACACAGACAGTCACCCGAGGGTGGAATCGAACCCGGGTCCCTGGCGCTGTGGGGCAGCAGTGCTAACCACTTAATAAACTTCTCCATATCCCTATCACTTTTTGGTGCTTCCTAAAACCAATCTTTTTGATTGAACATCATGGCTATCTGTCCCGATAGCTTGGTATCCAAAGAGTTGTGAAACTCTTTGAGATGTTTCTCTATGTGTTTGGAGAAATGCATTTGTGCAAATTATACTGGCTGGTTAGCCATTGTCTTTTGACATCTACCTTTGTTGAAAAGTGATTTCACTTTATATTGTGGCAGCCACTAAAAACATATTACATGAAGCACAGGGCTTTATTTTAATAGAAAGCAGCCAAGTATCAATTTTGATGAATTTCATAGAGAGTTTCTCGCGAGGCCTAGCAGGTTTTCTCGCGCTATCTTCCCAAATCGTCCTCATTACCTCTGCACCACACCCCTATGGCACCCTGCTCATCATATTCCTCCACTCAGTGCAGGCAGAAGCACTAGTCACTGCTAAAATAGGGTTAGGGCTCAGTTTCGGGTTAAGGTTCGGGTTAGGGATAGGATTAGGGTTAGGACTAGGGTTAGGCTTAGGGTTAGGGTCAAGGATTCCTGGCACTGGTGTCATCTTTGAAGCCCAGCTGATGCTATTACTGGACAAGTCATATCCCAGACTGAAGTCAGCATTGACAGATCAAACTTTGGTTTTTTTTTTGACCAGATATTCTTTTACTTAAACACAAGCACATGCACTGCAAATTTGTTTTAACAATAAATTAAAAGTTTATTATGCAAAAGAAATAAGAAAAAACAGAATGAACCAAACTAAACCAGTCTGGTTACATATAGGGGAGACGCTGGCCTCGTGGTATTATAGCTTGTTGATGTCTGGGGCCACAGGTTCAAATCCTGTCATCGTAGATGGTGGAATCTGAGTTCAACAAAAATCTGGAATTGAAAGTATAACGATGACCATTAATCCATTGTTGATTGTTGGAAAAACCCATCCAGTTCATTCGTGTCCTGTTGGGATGGAAATGATCATCTTTACCTACATGTCCTACATGTGACTCCAAACCCACATTAATGTGGTTGGCTCTTAACTGCCCTCTGAGCAATTAGAGATGGGCAATAAAAGCTGGCCTATCCAGGACATACATATCTAATGAATGAATAAAAAAAAAACAATTTAAGTGATTTAGGAACATATGCACTGTGAAAATACAATCCCGTCTGTCCCAACAGAATCAAGTACGAGAGAGAATTCCCTTCTCCATCACTTCTATAGGGTTAACTTAACTGCTACTTTCAATTCTCAGTCTTGAGAATTTGGTAGCATCTTGCTTGATTTTTTATACAACTAAGCTTATATTTTCTCAGCTTCAAATAAGTCTTCAGGGTTCTAACCAAACACATCTGGTCTGGAACTTACAAACTAAAACCTTTATACTGAGGTAATCTATTTCCTAACAGTTTTAAACTATCTAGCCTTTCTTCAAGATAAATTGTTTCATACATCTAACTTCCATCAGGACCCCTGTGAATTGAAACTAAAAGCTTTTTAAGATATGGGCTTTATGTCACGCAGAAAAACCTCCTGATCGTCATAACTAAAAGCAGGTAATGTTTTTCAATACATGTTCTACTTACTTATAAAACTCTCCGAATGCAAACAAATTCCTATTATCAATCTCTTTTTCATGCTAGTTTTTGAAAAATATCACATTTGCAGAAATATTGACAAGTTAATCATTAAACCCCTTTATTCACACAGACCAAAACCCACATACCACAAGTCTGAAATTCAAATCCAAAAAAAACTATATAAATTACATGCATTACATCACATGCCCAGCTATGCACCAAGGTAAATGTGGCAGTCAGTAATTGCCCTACATCATTTCAGTGTCAGGCAAGGGAAATTAGCACCTGCTATGCCAATGGGGAGTTGAAGGACCTGGTGGATGTGATTGTATGCAATTGCTACTCATTGCTACTCAGGGAGCGTGCCCTGAGATGTTGGTGTCTGGTGTCCACGATGGATGACCAGAGGAGCAACTGGTGAGCTAAAGATACCAGGTTGCTCCTCTGACTTTCACATCAGGAATTGTCACCATCTAGTTTCTGTTCAGCGAGTGGGAGAAATGGAAAGTGCATATCAGTGAGGCAAAATTACATAATAATGAGGAAGTCAATGCATAGTGAGAATCTCATCTTACTGTTCAAAACATGGCCGGAAAATGGGACTTTATGCTCTTGACGGCAGGAATCTCCTTACTGCCAATCTCACGTTATGTGGTTAATAAGGTCATTTTTTAAAAGGGACAAAGTGAACTGGGTTAGCCACAGGTGAGGCCCCAGAAGACTGGAGGGCAGCGAATGTTGTGCCTTTATTCAAGAAAGGCTGCAAAGAAAAACCTGGGAATTATAGATCAGTGAGCTTAACATCTATGGTAGTAAGTTATTTGAGAAAATTCTGAGGGATAAGATATACATGCATTTGGAAGGACAGGGTTTGATTAGGAGTAGTCAGCATGGCTTCGTGTGTAGGAGATCATGCCTCACAAATTTATTAGAGTTTTTTATTGTTGAGACTGGGAAGGTGGATGAGGGCAGGGCAGTAGATGCAGTCTATATGGATTTCACTAAGGCCTTTGATGAGGTTCCACATGGTAGGCTGCTCTGGAAGTTTAGATCACATGAAATCCAGGGAGAGCTGGCAAATTGGATACACAATTGGCTTGATGATAGGAAGCAGAGAGTAATAGTGGAAGGGTGCTTGTCGGACTGGAGGCCTGTGAGTAGTGGTGCTGGGCCCATTGCTGCTTGTTATCTATATCAATGATTTTGGATGAGAATGTACAAGGCATGATTAGTAAGTATGTGGATTACACTAAAATAGGCAGTATCATGGACAGTGAGGAAGGTTATCAGAAATTGCCGCAGGATTTTGATCAGCTGGGGAAGTGGCCCAAGAAATGGAAAACAGAGTTTAATATGGATAAGTGTGAGGTGTTGCATTTTGGAAATTCAAATCAAGGTAGGAGTTTCATGGTAAATGGTAGGGCCTTAAGGAGTTTCATGGAACAGAGGGACCTATTAGTTCAGGTGCAAGGTTCTCTGAAAGTGGAGTCACAGGTAGACAGGGCAGTTAAGAAGGCTTTTGGCACACTGGCCTTCATCAGTCAGGGCACTGAGTACAGAAGTTGGGAAGTTATGTTGCAGTTATACGGGACATTGGTGAGGCTGCACTTGAAGTATTGTGTTCAGTTTTGGTCACCTTGCTGTAGGAAGAATGTTATAAAACTGGAAAGAGTGCAGAAGAAATTTACAAGGATGTTGCCAGGACTCAAGGGACTGAGTTATCAGGAGATGTTGGGCAAGCTAGGAGTTTTTCTTTAGAGCGTAGGAGACCGAGGGGGGATCTTATAGAAGTGTATAAGATCATGAGAGGCATGGATAGAGTTTTTCTTTTTCCCAAGGTTGGGGAATCGAGGTCTAGAGGGCATCAGTTTAAGGTAAGAGGGGAAAGCATACATGGGAACTGAGGAGCAACTTTTTTACACAGAGGGTGGTACACATTTGGAATGAGCTGCCAGCAGAAGTTGTATAGATGGGTACATTAACAACATTTAAAAGGCATTTGGATGGATACATGGATAGGAAACGGTTAGAAGGATATGGGCCAAGTGCAGGGAAATGGGGTTAGCTTGGATGGACGTTTTGGTCAGCATGGACCAGTCTGGGCCAAAGGGCCTATCTCCGTGCTGGAGGACTCTACAATTGGGGTTTATTTTAAGATGAATAGAATTGAAGAACAGAGAAATTATGTTAAAATTGTATTGATTGGATAATATTTAGAGAGCACACTTCTGGTTACAATTTTAGAAATAAAAGAACCATGCACTGAAGACAGTGGAAAATAATTTTACAAGGATGATAACAGAAATGAGACATTTTAATGCCACTATAAGATAAACAAACTGGGTCTTTTTTCTCTTGAAATTAAAATGCCCAGGGATAACCCCGCAGAGATGTTTAAAATTATGAAGTTTTTGATAGAGTAAACACAAATTAATGTTTTCTTTTATCTTGTGGGGGAAAGGTGTCATCAATATAGTCACCAAGAAATGAAATATGGAATTTGGAGGTTAGGGAGAGTGTGGAATTCATGAGGCAGATAAAACAGATGCATTTAAAGGGAAGCTAGATAAACACACAAGGGAGAAGACAGTAAAGGGTTATTCTGTCAGAGTTAGGTGAGGAAAAATGGGGGAAGGTTAGAGTGCAGTATAAACAGTGACAAGGATTGGTTGGGTTGAATTGTCTGTTTCCGTGCTGCATTTAATCATAAAAGGATGTCTCTACATTGATGCAAGTTTCACATGTGGAGCATGGGCATTTGGATCCGCTCCTAGAAAGTGGCAGATTTCTGTAGAATTCTAGCTGGCATGGATGAATGCCACTGGAGAGGAAACCAGCAATGTGAAAAAATTATAATGATGGGCTAGGAATAAACTGAGAAGAATGAAGGATATGTTAGATCTCTTTGAAGTAATAATTGCTGCAGGATATATAGTTAATGCAGCTGGATGTTTCAGGGACATACAATCCTACTGAGTTGAGTCAGAGCTGATAACCAACTAGTACAACCTGCTGTACCTTCATTAAAAGATAACTGAGTAGAGACTGATGGTAATATAATTAGAAAATAAATATCGCAGCAATGAAGAGAGAGATAGCCAACAAAACAAAACAAGAGCCAATCTGAAAATAAGAGAGCCGACCCTGACTTGGCTGAATAGGATTTAGAAGGAGTTTGAAGAAGGTACGCCAAAATCCTGACGAACAATTCTGGTATTTGCAAGTCTCAAAAATCTGGCAGTTGCCAGGAGGAATTTGCTAGGCGATTGTTGTCAAATGTAACATAAACTGGCAGTGTTTCTGTATTTGTACAGGAATGTTCTGGATCCATCTATATTTCCTGGGAGTGTGTCAGTAGGGAGTCCTGAAAGTATGTCCGTATTTATAGGACTTTGCTATAAATATATGAGATATTTTAAACTTAACTGCAAGAAGTAGTGATCCTGGAAACAATGTTGTTGAGTCTTTGCGCAGGCATGGTGATGACAAATATGGATTAATCACGTGTGAGATTTTCAGATGCATGGGGGAAGGAACTTTGTAAGAGGTTCACTTTATAAACTGCTAATGAGCATCTCCTAGTGGCTACCTCCAGAACAGAATGGGCTGAGAGTTGGTGACTGGTGTCCTTTGCTTGCTCCAAAGTTTATCAGTGGGGCAATTGTCGTTTCTTCAATGGGATCCCGATGAACTCAGCTTAACAGACTGGCCAGAAACTGACACAGAACTATGCCGCCAAGAAGATTTGCATCAAGTCTGTGCTGAGTTAGTTGATCACAGTTGGAGCCCAGAAGTGACAACACCATGGGTTATGGAGATAAAAAAGATTAGACAGAGTTACTTGCTCCTGATCACCAAGCTGTGCCGTCCCTCCCAGATGAAAAGAACTTTGTGAAGAGTAAGAAACGTCTTCTCATTCAAATAAGCTTTTGACACCCACCGATTGTTCCAAATGCAGGTACACGGTGTTAGCTCACAAATCAGTCATGATCTCATTAAATGGTGAAGCAGGCTTGGAGGGGGGAGCGGAGGGGTGCTGAATGACCTACTCCTGTTCCTATATTCTTATGCTTCTTGCAGAGTTGACGTGCCGGTGGAATTAGACAGAGGAAGTAGGGGAAAGTATGTCATTTATATGGTAACAATCTGTAAGGTCCTTCAGGTGTATGAATTTAGCTGCGGCTAAATATGTAGCATTCTAACGGCTCTTGTAGTGTAATGGTACTGTTCCCTACCTCTGAGCCAGGAGACGTGGGTTCAAGTCCCACTTGCTCCAGATGTGTGTCACAACACATCAGAACAGG